AATCAAGCTCATCTAGTTGAGAATGAGGATCATGATGTGATCGCTACGGTAGTATCTGAGGTCAACTTGGTAGAGAATTAACACTGAATGGATTGTTGACACAAGAGCTTCCAAACACTTCTATGCCAACAAGGATCTGATTTCTAGTATGGAGGAAGCCAAGGAAGGCGAACAAGTTTACATGGGGAACTCTAGCAGTTCTGAGGTGCTAGGGAAAGGAAAGGTGACGCTAAAGCTGACTTCAAGAAAGACTCTAGCCATGCACAATGTTTTGTATGTTCCTTCTTTTCGCAAGAACCTTATTTCTGGTGCTTTACTTAGAAAAGTAGGATTTAAATTACTTTTTGATGCTAATAAAATTGTATTAACCTGGAATGGGGAATATGTTGGAAAAGGGTACCTCAATGGGGGTCTTTTTGTTCTTGAAATTGTAATTGAATCTTCGATTAATAAGAGTTATTCTTCTGCTTATATTGTCGAGTCCTTGATTTATGGCATGCTAGATTGGGTCATATTGGTGTGACCAAATTGAAACGTTTGTATGAAGCATTTAAATTTACTCCCAAATATGTCATGAGATAGACTAGAAAATTGTGAAGTCTATGCATAGTTTAAGTTTGTGAAGAAACCTTACAAGTCTGTCACAAAAGGGGAAACTGCATTGCTAGAGCTAATTCACACTAACTTAGCTGACTTTAAGAACTTGGAGAGTAGAGGTGGTAAACAATTTTATGCTACTTTTGTTGTTGATTACTCTAGATACTGCAGGGTTTATCTTTAGAGGTCAAAGGATGAAGCTGAGTTTGGGTTCCTTGTGTATAAGGCAGAAGTTGAAAATCAATTGGGTCGGTAAATTAAAAGGGTTCGATCTGACAGAGGAGGAGAGTACGGCTCAACTTTCCTTAAGGGCGTGTGTGAAGTTGAGGGGATTATTCATGAGATCTCAGCTCCATACACGCCACATCAGAATGGGAATGTAGTGAGAAAAAATAGGACTCTAAAGGAGATGATGAATGCAATGCTCTTGAGTTCCGGGTTGCAAGACAACATGTGGGGGGAAGTTGTACTGTCAGCAAATTTTGTTCAGAATAGAGTTACTCACAAGAAGTTAGACAAGACTCCGTACGAGCTATGGAAGGGTTATGCCCCAAATCTGAGTTATTTGAAATTGTGGGGGTGTCTAGAAAAGGTGGGATATCCTTCCTTTAAACGATCAACAATTGGTTCGAGAACGTTTGATACGGTGCTAATTAGATATGCTGAGAATAGTGCGTCATAATGATTTATGAGTCTGGGTGACAACGTCATTATCAAATCTCGTGATGCAGAATTCTTCGAACAAGTGTTTCTTTTGAAGAAAATTGATGTTACCAGCAATGTTTCTTCAACTCCTTTGTCTACAGAGCGGGTTAAAAGTTATCCCGAGACTGAGGAGTTATCTCATCCTAGGAGAAGTAAACGACATAGCACATAAGCAACATTTGGCCCTGATTTCCTTACATCGTTCCTAACTGAGCTAGATGATGAGGATGTTCTGGATGGGGTCATGGTATGTATTCATGTTGTAGATGAAGATCCAAAAATGTACGAAGAAGCAATGAGATCGGTAGATACAAGCCTTTGGAAGGAAGTAGTTGACAGTGAACTTGAGTCCATTATCCAAATAGTACTTGGGAACCTGTTGATTTGCCAAAGGGAAGCAGACCTATAGGGTGCAAGTGGATTTTCAAGAAGAAAATGAGAACCGACGGTACTGTAGAAAGGTTAAAGGCCAAATTGGTGATAAGAGGGTTCACTCAGAAATATAGCATTGATTATTTCTACACTTATTCTCCGATGACTAAAATTGCTACTATTCGTACTTTATTTGCCTTAGCCTCATCATTTAATTTGTTTGTGCATCAGATGGATGTCAAGACAACTTTCTTGAATGGTGATTTGGAAGAGGAACTTTATATGGAGCAACCTCTAGGGTTCCTAGTTCCTGGAATGGAGAATAAGGTTTGTAGAATTAAGAAGTCCTTAGATGAACTGAAGTAAGCACCAAAGCAGTGGTATGAAAATTTCATAATACTATTCTTGGTTTTGGTTTTGTTGTCAATGGTAGTGATGCATGTGTTTACTCTAAAATTTTTGGTAATCATTGTGTGATCATATTCCTATATGTGGATGACATGTTGTTGTTTAGTGATGATATGAGTGCTATAACTGAAACCAAGAGAATGCTTTCTTCTAAGTTTGAGATGAAGGATTTGGGAGAAGTAGATGTCATTCTTGGTGTCAAAGTTTAGAAGACCAAGAAAGGTTATTTCCTAACTCAGTCTCATTATGTGCAAAACATATTGAAGAAGTTTGAAAGCTTTGTTGTTGTGTCTTTAAGGACTCCGTATGATAGTAGCATAGGTTTAATGAAAAATCAGGGAGAAGTTGTTTCCCAAGGAGAGTATGCAAAAGTAATAAGTAGCCTGATGTTCTTAATGAATTGCACTCGTCCAGATATTGCATTTGTTGTGAGCAGGTTAAGCAGGTACACTCATTGTCCTAGTAACGAACATTGGGGAGCCTTGAAGCGAGTGCTCATATATCTTCGAGGAACCATGAATTGGGGGTTGGAATTTGTTGGTCATCCATTGGTTCTTGAAGGTTATTGTGATGCAAATTGGGTGAGTTCCAATTATGAAGTGAACTCCAGCAACGGATTTATTTTTACCCTATGTGGGAGTGCTATTTCGTGGAACTCTGCAAAGCAGTCATGTATTTTCAGGTCGACGATGGAAGCAGAGTTCATAGCGTTGGATCTTGCTACTCAAGAAGCCGACTGGTTGAGAAAGTTATTGGCAGATATCCCATTCTGGGGGAAGCCAACACCACCGGTCTCTATGCATTGTGATTCACAGGCTGCTATCTCTGTTGCTAAGAATAGTGTCTATAATGGCAAGAAGCGGCACATACATGTTAGACAGAAGTCAGTAAGACAATTTATTGTGAATGGAGTTGTTTCTTTGGACTATGTCCGAACCGAGAAAAACCTATCTGACCCTTTTACAAAGGGTTTATGCAAGAGAATGGTAATTGAATCGTCAATAGGAATGGGTTTGAAACCTTATTTTGATCGAATGTGAATTGTGTAAGTGTTTATTAAACATTTGACATGTTATGATATGAATAAATCCTAACCTATTGGTTATTGTCTAATTTCCCTGGTGAAGTTAGCTGGGTTTATTTTTGTTTTTATGCTTACATTAAATTGAATCTAACGACTCTTTTTGAAGGCTATTGACAAGGTAGATTCAAGAGACAGGTTGAGCGTAGCTCTTAAGGCCTCTAGCCTGGCCTGGCCTAGTGGCTCAAGAGTAGGGAGTTATAGTGATCTTAAGTGATCAGGAACTATTAGCCCAGACACTACTTGAGCAGGGACCAATAGAGACACCAAAGATGAGTGCACCTTGCCCAAAAGCTCGTTGAGCTGCGGCTAGATGGTGCACTGGTGAGTGCATCTTTTCCGAAAACTCTTTGATCTGCGGCTAGATGGTACACTGTTGAATGATGGAGGTTGAACTTAAATGTTCTTAATGTTTAGTTACATTGCATGAATGGTCCTTGGATTTGCAAGGTACATGTGAAGTTTCACATGTCTGTATGAATAGTCCTTGGATTTGCTAGGAATGTTGAGAACACCTACGTGGGTACGAAGAGTGGCGCTCTTCTAGGGAGGATTGGGCGTGATCCTTCTGAAGTACTCATGAGATCCCATGCAAGTGTAGCCAAGATTATATTTGCGGAGTTGCTTAAGCTATAAAGTCAAGGTATGTGTTTACAAAGTCCCTTCCTCGCTCCTGGGAGTTAAAATCTTAGGATACTCACAAGGGAAATGTTGAAAACTTTATGCACTAATGTGTTAGTTAAAATCTTTGGATACTAGCATTTATGTACTAAGACTTTCATTTACTGTTCAGATCTCAAGTCCGTTTAGCATTAGTGGGTGATTGTTGGAGTTAGTATATTTGTAATGCAAATCAGTACGCCTTCTATCGTCGTCATATGCAAGCTAAACATCTAACGAAGGAGCTATAGCTCTATCAATGACAGAGAACTTTGGCAAGGCCGAGCTATAACTCAGGTAAGAGAGAGCTATAGCTCGCTGCTGTTTGTTGGTCGCAGCAAGGCCGAGCTATAGCTCGGGTACAAGAGAGCTATAACTCACTGGCCATTTGGTTGCGACAGGGGCGAGCAAGAGCTTGAGCGATAGCTCGCGCGCTAGTTTGCTGCCTCTGTTGCTTGCGGCTAGGCGAGCGGTAGCTCGCTCGTCAGCGAGCTAAAGCTCGCTGCCTTAGTTGCTCAGTCACTCGGTTTGCTTTTGGGCGGTGGGCTTGCGTGGACTAAAAGACCTAATTTCTTGGCTTATTCTTTACTTCTCTATTCTCATATAAATACCCTCATACCCCAAAAATCAATGTACATTATTTTCATGATTGGAAAATAAAACCATACAAACACAAACCTACCCTTTTGAGATCTGAACAGTTCTTGAGCAATTCCAACCTTCGCGTTCGGGTACGTGGATTACGTAGGTCGTTGTGTAAAACTTGGGGGGCGTGCGTCATTAGGAGATCTGTACCGGTGGCGACGTATTTCGCTTCTAAGTTAGTTGGTTCCAAACCACGTCACAACAGAAGGAGGTCGGATCTTGATCAGTTATAACAGTTTGTTCTTGATTTCAACAAGTATTTTTTCTACAAGTTGGACCAGTCTAAGCTTATGTCTGTACTAAATTTTTCTTCCTTACTAATCCCACGGTATTATTTACATATATAAATGTTCACTTTACCGAATATGGATTGGAGCTTTAAGAAGATTAGTAGAAAATCATTAATTTATGAAAACTTACTACAGTCAATCTGTCTCTTTGTCAAATGTTCATTAACCTTAGTTAAAGATGAAAGATAGTCAAACAATCAATCAAACAAGCGAGAACTAAAAGCCAAGAAATTCAGACATACCTGAAGAATTTGGTGCAAAATGAAGGGGAGTGGAACCATCTTTCCCACGAAGACTATAAGAGTAGGAGGACAACAATATCTTCTCAGCAACCTTATTGCACCCATTTTTGACAGCAAGGAAAAGTGCGCTGTCGTTTTCCTTCTTGTCTACCATCATGCAGAGCGACTCCACATCCATCGACAATATCTCCATTGCACTCTCTTCATTAACGACCTCAATAGCCAAGTGTAACGGCGTATAACCATTCTGATTATGCTCTAACCATGGTTTATTAGTAACCGGCACCCCTGATTTGTAAAACCCAAGGATGAGCTTCACAGTTTTAAGGCTGATTTGCCTCGATTGCTTCAGCCCAGCGGCCATATGAAGAGGTGTACAACCATTCTTGTCTTTCTGAGAGTGGAGTTTTTGTTGGACCTGTTCCGGTAATATTTCCGTAGCTAGTTCAAGAAATTCCGATTGCTCACACCGTGTCGCGAGGTGGAAAATATTTTCATCCATTGGTGAAAGTTTAGTAAGGAAGTACTCATCAATTGGTTTTAAGCCAACAACACTTCTCAGGAAATCTACGTTTCCCGAGCATGCGGCTTCTTTCAACTCTAGATCCATTGTATTTCAGTTTTTTTTTTTTTTTTGATGTATTTCAGATGTTATGTTTTTGTATAGAAAAAATGTAATAAAATTCTGAATTGTAATAAACACCAAGAACAAGTGTGACGAGTTTATATCGTTTTTTGACAATGAAGATTAACGTGTGGCCGTGTGGGTATCGTGTAATGAATTGTTGTACGACTTTTTGTGTTTTTGGATGCGAAGATCAAATTTATCAAATACAATGTTGTCACCCCTCTTGTTAAAAAAAAAATTTGTTGTCACCCCTGATAATAATAATAATAATAATAATAATAATAATAATAATAATATTATGGAATGACGACTTTAATTTGTGTAATATAATAAATTAGACAAATATGAATAGGGTGTTTGGCCTATAGGCCAACTTGGGTCATGTCAGCCCCCATGTAATGGATTTATTAAAACTACTTGTTGATCTTAAACTAAATCGGAATATTTTGATAAGTCAACTAGCTTTAGCCGTAGAATCAGTCATACTACTATTATTGGGAAGCAACAATAATCTTCTCGATAAGTCAACTAGTTGAGGATGGTTATTGTTACCTTAATTTTAGGATTTTAGTTTAATCATTAGAAGCAATGTTACGTAGTGGGTTTTACTTAGTCAAAATCTTGTTATTGTTTACGTTGATTGTTACTAGTTAGAGGGTAAGTGGGTTAGTAGTGGACTATTGGTTTCCTAATATGTTGCTTTGGTGTTTTATCATTAGCTTATTTAGTAATGGGATTGCTAAATATCGCCAATGTTTTTTATCAAACCGCCATCATTTTAAGTAAAGGGACTTCCTTGCCCTTAATAAATATTTACCCAATTATTTTAAATTTTTTTTCTAACTTTAATTAATCGACTACAATTACCGCTCACTACCTACATTGGACCACCACCACTAATAGATTGGACCACCACCACGAACGGAAAAGTTATCGGAAATGGATGATAATTACGGTGATTCGTCTGAAAACCAACCGCAATCTCAACCCTCGGCTTTTGAACAAGTACGATTATTTATTTAATTAGCTAGTTGTTGAAGGAGTTATGTCTTCGATAAGTGCAATTACTAGATATATCAAGGATCACTATTATGGAGATAATAAGTTCATTCTATAGGGTCGTCAATGTTTGGTGCTAGATATGACAATTGATCTTTGGGCTAGCTTAATGGCCCAAAGCCTTATAGAATGGATCCTACAAGGTCACGCATAAGAGTATTGGGTTAAACAAGTTAGAGGCCCATTATTGGGCCTCATGAGTACATGACATACCATGTTGATAATTGGGCTTGGATAGCTAGAAGAGTCTAATGGGTTTTGGACTTGACATGGATTTATTTCTAGATATGATCTACAAATATAAACCATGCCTAGGGTTGCATGACACAACAATTGACATACAGTAAATTGTCACACAAGCAACCAAGCATCCCAAAACCCTAACTCTCTCTCTCTACTCGGCCCTATCTCTCTCCTCCCTGTCCGTACGGCCCTCCCTTGTGGGCGGCGCGTGTGGTGGTGCGTGGGTGGTGTTGTGGTGTGTTCGTGGCTCAAATCTCCGTTGAAGGTTGATTGAAGTGTTCAGTCACAACTAACTAACATTAGTGGAGGTTTAATCCATGCTCGTGGACTAAGTAGAGGAATCACGCTTGGGGTTCTTTCTCTCCCATTGTTCTTGCTCGATCGCACGTGGAATCACGCTTCAAAGGTACGATTATATGTTCTTTATGTGTAATGCATTAGATCTTGGGATTAGGTACTGTATGAATATGATTCATGTATTTCCGCTCCGTAGTACCTATAATTCCTTACAGTTGTATACTAATATGATTATAAATTACGCTGAATTTGGAATAAACTATAAATTAGCTAGTTGTATACTAATATGATGACGAAAACTTGATTTGAAATCGGTCAACCGGTGCACGAAACCGGTCAACCTCCCCGGGAATCGGTTTTATGCGGCAGTTGACCGGAGTTGTTTACTGATTTTGAACACCGGTTGGCCGTGTTGGTCTACCGGTTTTCCACTCAGGTTACCGTGGGCAACCGATGCTGAAATCCGGTTATTCTTCACGGTCAATCAGTGGTAAATTCCGATAACCCATGTCAGTCAACCGGTTTGCAGCTCCGGTTGACTGTAGTGGCGATGCTTTTTTTTAAAAAAAAAATTAATATTATTATATTAACTTTTATACTAGTATGAATAATATAAATAAATATTATTCTATTTAAGATTATTATTATAATTATAATTATTAATGTTATATTGTTCGTTATTATTAATGAAAAGAATTATTTATTTGTCACTACTAGAAAATAGCTGAATTTCGACGGGCTGCTTCCGACGGACCCAATATTCTGTCGGAAAAAGGGAAATTTACGACGGATTTTGTTTTCGTCGGAAATTTCCGACGAATTCATCGATTCCGTCGGAAATTTCCGACGGAATTTTCTGTCGGAAATTACCTTTTCCGACGGATTTATAGTCCGTCGGAACATAATTTTTTAAAAAAAAAAAAAAACCATTTCCGCTACAAAACCCTAAACTAACTTGAGAAGCAACCCGCCTCTTTTCTCTTCTCCTCTCCACTCTCTCTCTTCTCCCTTTATGTTCCTCTGCTTCTCTCTCCTCTCGTTCTCCTCTCTCTTCTCCTTCTTATCTTCTTCTCTCGATCTCCTCTCCTCCTCTCTAGATCTCTGTCTTTCCTCTTCTCTCTGTTCTCTCTCCTCTCGTTCTCCGTACTTTCCCCTCTTTCGACCACCACACCACGGCATCAACAACAACACAACCACCGTCATCAACACCACCGTCAACAACGACCAACACACAAACGACATCAACAAACTACTTTAAAGGTTTTTAGGCCAAATTCGGCCATGAAAAGTTTAGATCTACACTTTTCATGGCCGAATTTGGCCTTGTTAAACCGTTTCCGTGTTGAAATTCGAAGCATATTTCAATTTCAGGTATGTTTTATGTTTTAATTTTTCGATTTTAGTTTCCGATTTTTTTTTAAAAAAATATGGATTTCGATGGTGGTGGTGGGTGTGGCTGATGTGCGTGCGTTTAGCATTTGCAGTGGTTTGTGGTGGCTGTGAGATCAGGGCTTAGGTGGGGTCGGGTTCGGTCGGGTCCAGGTTAGGGTTTGGGTGTTTAGGTGGGTGGATCTGGGTATGGGTGAGGGTGGGGTATGGGTGTTTTGGTTAGAGTTCGGTCAGGGTGAGGGTAAAGTGGTGGTGGTGTTGTGGATAGGTTAGGGTGGTTGTGGTGGTGGTGCTATGGATCTGGGTATGGGTGGGGGTGGTGTTGTGGATAGGTTAGGGTTAGGAAGTGGGTGTGGTTGGGGTTGACAGGGGTGTTTTGGGTGGTTGGAGGTTGTCGGTGGGTGGTTGATCTAGTGGTTGTCGGTGGGTGGTAGATCTGGTGGTTGTGGGTGGTAGATCTGGTGGTTGTGGGTGGTGGGGTGGTTCTGGACTGCTGATGTTGGGTTTTTTGGTGGTTGGAGGTGGTGATACGCCGTGCCGGTGGTGGCGCGGCATATTTTTTTAAAAATTTCAGAAAAGCAATTTCCGACAGGAATTCCGTCGGAAATTTTCGACGGAATTGAATCCGACGGAATTTTACGACGGATTGTTGCAGTACCTGAAAATATTTTTCCGGCGGATAATTCTGTCGAAAATTCCGTCGGAATAGTGTTTCCGACGGAATTTTCGTCGAAAAAGTTCATTTTTCCTACAACATCTTTTCTGACAACCTCTTCCGACGGAATTCCGTTGGAAACCCTATTTTCGACGGATTTCAGGGTGTTTCCCACAGAATTTTTCCGTCAGAATTTAGCCTATTTCTAGTAGTGTGGATCAGGCGTCATTATCAGATTACGGCGGTGATGGTGTTGATTATAGCCCGCATTTTCAGACTAGAGAAGTTTTCCCGACCTATCAAGTAGTTGTTGATTGGGCTAGAAAAATTGCCACTCCATTGGGGTTCTTTTTGACAAATTCATCGTATAAGAAACAAAGAAATGGGCTTCCAATTAATTACATGCATGAAATGTGATCGGGGGGAGAGAACCAGAGGGGAAAATCGGGACCGTGAAAATGCCACACGGAAGAACACAAAGAGCAAGGGTTGTAAATGTACGTTTCAAATCTCGGCTCGATGTTTGCGAGACATGGAAGGATGGATAATTAAATCTAAAAAGGGCTTGAAAGGCATGCATAACCATCCGCTCATGGTATATCGAGAGGGTCACCAACAGGTTAGTGGTCTTAGTCCAGCTGCAAAGACGCTTGTTATTGACATGACTTCTGCTGCAGCAAAGCCGCGTCACATTATGGCAGCCGTGAAAGAGAAGTTTTCGAATGAGAACCCTAACAAGAGACATATCTACAATGTGAGAAGTCGTGCTCGTCTAGATGCTTGTGAAGGTCGAGATGTTGCGCACCAGTTTGTTCACTTGGAGAATGAGTACAAGTATGTCACTTGGATAAATGTTGATCCAGATACCCGTGCCATCACCCATGCTTTTTTGGCCCAACCAGAGATGGCTAATATGTTACGTACGTATCCACATGTCATTGGGATGGATTCTACGTACAAGACCAACATATATAACACGCCATTCTTCAAGCTCGTTGGTGTCACGCCTACAAATCAAAACTTTTTGATCGGATATGCCATATTGAAGAGCGAAACTTATGCAAGATACAAGTGGGTTTTGGAGAAATTGCAGTTGTACATTGGATTTGAGGTGGCTCCGAATGTTTTTGTTATTGATTGTGAGTTGGGGTTGATGAAGGCTTTGAAAGAGGTCTTTCCAAATTGTGCGCATTTATTATGCGGGTGGCACATTAACAAGGATGTATTGGGAAGGGCGCACATTTTGTGTGGGAAGATATGTTGATGGCCGAGAGATTTCGAAATGGTAGATAGATGGAGAAGAGTAATGTGTTCGACCACTATTGCCGAGTATGAGTTAGAGTTGCAAACTATGAAAGCGACATGGGGAGCATCGAACCCACCACTGGTGAAATACGTCGAGGATCAATGGTTGGTCCACAAGGAGAAATTTGTACGAGTTTGGACGAATTTGGTGATGCACTTCGGTAATGTCAACACATGTAGAGTAGAGAGCCAACATTCCGTACTTAAACAATGGTTCGACAGTTCTACAGGAGCATTAGACACTATCTTCCGTCGTGTGCACAACAACATTGAGGGTATGCTAATTGAGATTCGTCACCATTTGGAGGACTCGAGACGGCGAATGGGGTCACAACACAACATCATGCCTTTGCTTCATCTGAACGACTTTATGTCATTTCAAGGTCTTGATATTTTACAGGATGAGTTGAAGAGGATGAGAGAGTTATCTGATGATGTGTTGGATAGGTGTGGGTGTGCGTTGCTGACGACGCACGGTCTCCCATGTGCATGCACCATGTGGACAACAATTCTTGCTGGGACAGGGTTGTATTTGGATTAGGTCCATCCATTTTGGAAGACATTAGTGATCGGTGAGGGCGTTGGCATTCCCGTTTTTGCTGATGAGTCGGAGCAGGATGCAGCCTTGTTTAGGTCTTTGGTGGATGAGGTCTTAGATAGTGATCCAAGCTTTGTGCGGGGTATCAACCGGGTCCTATTTGAGGTGCTACACCGAGATCAGACTGATTTTACTGATCCAGAGGTCAACGAGACAACAAGGGGTCGACCACCGACTGGTCAATGGTCTACGTCTACTAGGCGTAATCGCAGCAGATTTGAGCATATTTTGGGTTCTCGTGGCCGTCGAGGTGGTCGTAGGGGTGGTTGTCGGGGTGGTCGTGCGGCACCAATTTATGCAGCTTCAGGTTCTTCTTCTTCTTCTTCTTCTTCTTCTTCTTCTTCTTCTTCTTATTATTATTATTATTATTATTATTATTATTATTATTATTATTATTATTATTATTATTATTATTATTATTATTATTATTATTATTATTATTATTATTATTTTATGGCTAATTTGTGCACACTTGTAGGGAATGATTTGAACTTGGAGGAATTCGCATATTTGGATAAAGTTCCAGCCTTCATGCTTCCATTTCTACGAGGGTGGAGTGATCCGCTTGGTGATGGTAACTGTGGATTTCGATGTGTTGCAGATTTCTTCATGGGTGACTAGCATGAATGGATATTTGCTCGACGATCGATTGCAAATGAGGTTGGTCGTCATCGAGACATTTATTCTCGAGTGTACAGAGTTGAACAGTTAGATGTTGCAATCAACCGTATCACATGGACTGGAGGGAGATGTGGCACAAATCATTGGATGGTTGCTTTTGATGACTTGTTTCCGATTGCTAACTTTTATAATGCCGTTGTTATGTGTTTTGGTGTTGGTATAGATGGTTGTGGTGTGTTCCCATGCATCATTGTGCTACCTTGGACTGCTCCGTCAACAGCAACTGGTCCGTATAGGGAGTTTTGCATACTGTCTTTAGGGTGGCATTTTGTGCGATTGGAGTTTGAAGATAATTTTCCAGTTCCTCCTATTGCTACTACTTGGTTCGATATACGTGACGATACCGTTACAGGTTGGGAGGATCGATATCAACATAGGCGCGCTACTTGGAACACTCTAGCTAATAGTCAATGATGTGATTGATAGGAGATTTTATGCATTGTTAATACTGAACTCTTAATTTAATAATTTTATTCATTTAATAATGTCGCAATAATTATTAACTCCTAAATCTATAAACCAAAAAAAAAGGTCCAAATATAATGATGTCCCAACAATTATTAAATCCAAATCTAATAAAAAAAAAATCCAAATATAATAATGTCCTAACAATTATCAACTCCAAAGCTAATCAACCAAAAAAACAAGGAAAAAAAAACCAAATCGGTCGGCGCACTTGCAGATAAGTATATATTAACTGTGGTGCACTTGCAGAGCTAACCGCGTAACTCCACGTCTCATATGCCGGTCGGCACGCATAATCGGGTGTAAAACATGGAGGAGGGATCCCCTGAACGAACCCAAGCTGGCGTACAACTCTGTTAGGGTGGTATGGCTCAACAATGTCTCGATACTGTATCCAACCCAGATAAGTAGTTCTCGGGACCGAATGAGCTGGACTCAAAGTATAAGGCCTCCAAATAACCTACAAGCAATTAAAGATAAAAAAAATATTATTAATTTGTAAATCCAAAATTTTAAATTTATAAAATATTTAGCAAAAAAATATACCTCTCGATCGGTCATCTGCTCAAAGCGTCTACGAAAAGAAACTACATGATGGTAGTCACTTTCCTAATTCTATGTGTCCCACCTGGCGGCTCGAGCATCAGTCGATGTTATGGCTAAACAACCTTGAATAGGTCAAAATGCAGGAAAATACTCGTAAATCCAAGACTGTAAAAACGTCAAACACCCAGCAATCTGTTTGCAACCTATCTGTGAGGCAACGCCTAACTGCCGATACAAATTAAATAAGCAAGGGTAGCTGAACCCCATGAATAATGACAAAGCTGAACATCCTTCTTCTTCACCTCTAAGATGCAAGAAGGAGGAATACGACTCCCACTCTTATCGACAAAAATAGTGTTGCCTAGAACTAACAACAAGAAACCCTGCACCTGGATATCAGCATCACCTCTCTCTGCTAGGCATCTCACATATATGGCCTGACTTGACACACCCCCCCCCCCCCCGTTATTCCAAATGGTTGCCGGCTTGGCAACAAGTTTGTCTGCTCCTATCCCTAAAAAATTCTGAAAGTCAGCCTTCAAAGACGCAACACCGCTTTGCTCTACAACAACATCACCCTCCAAAGGTAACCCAAGTATGTACTGTACATCATGGAGCATAATAGTCATCTCGCCGAACGGGAAGTGAAAAGTGTTTGTGTCTGGCTGCCAGCGCTCTACAAACGCCGAAATCAGGGCCTAGTCAATGTGATGATGCATGATGTTAATTAGCCCACTCAAACCAGTACTATCAACTCGTCTACGCACATCATCGGCCATAGCACTGTGCATCTGATGTAAATTTAAGCACCATTGCGTCCTAGATTGACACTTTAACACGTCACGATCTTTTTGCGGCCCCATCCAAATTTGCGTGGCGATGTGACCTGCCTAACTGGGAATGAGACTATCATCCTTGGGACCACTCGGCATTTGAGCTTGAACAAGCCATGAAGTATCATTCGACGCTCGGACAACACGAATTTTACGAGTTCGGGAAGTACCAGCTCCAGTACTCTGAAATCTACCATTAGCACCTCTCTTCAAAGTGACTCCAGACGACGTCTGGCCTTGCTCTCCCCTTCCTCCCTAGTGTCGAACAGACCTCAAACTCTCATCATCGTAAACCAAATCATTAATTTTATCCTCGTCCCACTCTTCCTCCTCCTCCTCCTCCTCCTCCTCCTCCTTGTCCTCACCCTCACGTCCCTAAACCTCATCATGAACACATGCTCCATTAGCTATAGGAGCTGATGACCTCAGTCTCCTAGTCGAAGCAGTCACTGCACGAGTCCTGGTATGTCTCTTACTCGAGCCATCAATACGATCAAACGTCATTTTGAGCCTACCCAGCTGTCGTCATAAATAAATGAACGAAATATTTACAATCAATAATAATAATAATGATAATAAAATAACTATAATAATCATAACTGTAAAAAAAACAATAACAATCGTAATATTAAATTTAAATTATTATTTTATAAAATAACTATAATAAGATTCCTGAATTTACCAGGTATTGATGATGGAATCTTATAGTCATGCTATCTAATATTCTACTTTGTATTGACTTGGGAAGTTCTCTTTGATTCTGTAAAACTCATACGGAGTATATGCAAAGAATTTTTTTTTCTCCAGCACTAAATTGAGTTTCTTTCCTTGGCAATCTGTGTAAGTTTTGTTCAAATGTGTGGCCCTTTTTAGTATGTTGCATGTATGCAATTCCATTATTCATATAAAGTGGCTTCCGGTGTGTGTTAAAAGTTTAAAACAAAGCTCTCATGACAATCCACTATGTTTTTTTTTTTAAGATCAGTAAAGTGTAATGCTAGCAAAAACGTTTGGTTGATGTAGTCAGAATAATACATTTTACAGCAGTAGTATATTCCTAGTACTCAAGAGGACAACATTCGTAGCCAGTGAAAAATTGAAAGTAAAAACAAGATGCCAGCTTGAACACAGTCTGACTTTCTTGAAGGAAGAACTGAGGTCCTTTCAAATGATAACCTCATTTTTTAAGCTTCAAATCAGAACACTACCACAAAATAGGAATATAGAACGCTTAAAATAGGGAATAAAGATCGACTCACAGGCGCTCTTCTGAGGAGGGTGCCCTATAAAGTCTACAAAACGCCTCTAAGAGGCGATCTATATCTAACACAATACAGAGCGCCTATCTAAGGCGCTTCATATTTTATGTAAAAAGTAAATAAATAACGAGGAAAATAGAGCGGTCATCGTAGCATGGGCGCTCTTTAGCTATATAAAAATAGGGCGCCTATCAAAGATAGGCGCTCTCTATTCCTCACTTTTTTAATAAAAAATTTAATAATAATAATAATAGTAATTCATACGTAACAACTAAAACACCATAAAAATAACAATTTATTTGTAACAAAATTAAAATACAAGTATTTCAATGATAATATATAACTAAATTCCTTGAGAAAAAAAATTACATTGCAAGGTTTCTCACATAACTAATTTATTGTGAATGATAAAAAATTTTCCTGTTCTTAAAAAAAACAACTAAAGAAATGCATCGACTTCAATTGCCTTCCAAAGTCGAAACCACCGCAATCATCCAAGTATCCAACCAACAGGGCTTTGGTTACACCAATCTCAACCACGCACCAATTCTATTAATAGCACACAAAAATAGATAACCTCCCCAAACACCTTCAAAAGATGAAAAATAAAAAATTAATCAAAATTAAACTATAACATATAAATCAATTGATAAAAGATAAAAATAAGAAATTGTTACATGAAAAGCAATTGATAAGAGATGAAAATCAGAATTATGACATGAAAAGCAATTGATAAGAGATGAAAATCAGAATTATGACATGAAAATCTATTGATAAAATCATGAAAATAAAAAATTATAAAACATGAAAATCAATTAATAAAAGATGAAAAATCAGAGTTTATAACATGAAAACCAATATCCCACAGATCTAAAATAATTGAAAAGTAAAACAAAATTTTAAAATAGAAATCAAAATTTTAAATAAGAATTTTATCATGAACTATAGATCGAAAACAAAAATAAATAAAAAAAACCAAATAAATCATATTTATCACTTTAAAACAACAAAAAAAAACGAATATAAACATTGAAATTCGAACACAAATGGGATTACCTTCATGTATCATCGCATTATGGACTTCACAATTCGTTTCATAGCAGCAACACCTCATTTGAACACACCCAGATCCAAACCCACCACATTTCTTCAATCTATAATTCTCACATCTAGATTAAATGCAATCACATTTAACTTTGAAAATTTGAGGGAAATGATACACATAAGCATGCGTTGGTCTTGATTTTAAAACCAAAAAACAAATTTGGCCTCCTGGGGTTTGAGAGGAGAGGAGAGGAGAAAGAAAGAGGAATGGAGTTGAGAAGACAGAAAGAGCGAGAAAGAAAGAGGAATGGAGTTGAGAAGATAGAATGAGGAGAGAGAAAGGAGAGGAGGGGGCGGCGTGCGAGATATGAGGCTGGTCATTTTATTTTAGGGTAAGATTTCTATTTTTTTTTTTACTTTTTTTTAATTATTCTAAAATCATATAGAGCGCCTAACTTAGAAAGGCAATCTATATCTATAGTCATATTTTTTATATAAATCATATGGAACGCGTAATCAGGGGAGGCGCTATATAGGTTCAATATATAAAGCGCTTATCATACATAGGCGTTCTATAGAATGCTAGAGATCGCCTATCTATCTTGACAACTCTTTATTATGCGTTACTTATTCCCTACTTTGTGGTAGTGGAATTTGAAAGAGCCACTCTCTATGATATGTAGTATATATCACCAAAAGTTACAACAAAATTACATCTATATACATGTAATATAATAATCACAATTTTAACTTGTGTTAAAAAATAATAATAATTTTAACAAAAAAAATAAAAAATAAGTACTGTGACCATCGTATAACAATCATAACAATATTAGAATTAAATACATAATAATAATTTTTTTTTAAAAAAAACGAATATAAATGGTGGCTGGCCATTGTTACCGATGATCTGTGAACCTGTGACCACCGCCGTTGACCGGTTATGGTTGCCATTTGCCGGTGACAGTCAACCGGTTTTCCAAGCCGGTTAACGGCGACGGTCACACGGTAACAATCGCCAGTAACCTTAATTCGAATTTAAAAAAAAAAAAAAAAAAAACAACCAACACGGTGGTCGCTGGTACCTAACCGACGTGGTAAACCGGTTTGCCGCTGCCGTTAATCGGTTTCGATCGCCGGTAACCGCAGTTGGCCAATCGGTTTTACACGCCGGTTGCCAGCGATCAAATTTTTTTTTTTTAAAAAAAAAATACAGAAAAAACAAACAGAGAAACTAACCTCTTTTTTCGAATTTCCGCATGAAAACACCAGATCACCGCCGCCTACTGCCGCCTTTGGCTGATTGTGGTCACTAAGTGTGTGATTGTGGTGGTTGTTTAGAATGAAAGTGGTGGTTGTGGTGTTTGATGGGGCAGTAAAAAATAAAAGGGTAAAAAATAAACTAAAAAAATAATTAGGGTTTAATAAGGGTAATAACGACATTTTGCTTGAAATGAGGGCGGTTTTGATCATTTTGGATGGCGGTATTTAACACCCCCCTTTAGTAACACAAACTCTTATATGTGGTCCTTTGCTCTCAAACTTATTCTTTGCTTATGATATAATTCTTTTCGCAGAGGCAAGTGTGGATCAAGCACAAGTAATTCAAGATTGCTTGGATCGCTTTTGTAAAGCTTCGGGGCAAAAAGTGAGTTTGGCCAAATCAAGAGTATACTTCTCAAGAAATATGAGTGAGTCCACGCAAGAAGAAATCAATGTTGCTCTGCAAATGGAGAAAACATAAGACTTGGGAATGTACTTGGGTATGCCAACGTTGACTAGCAGAGTTACCAAAGAGACTTATAGTCACTTGTGCGAGAAAATCGACCGTAGACTTGCGGGGTGGAAGGTGAAATACCTATCTTTGGCTGGAAGAATTACATTAGCTAAGTCCACGATATCAACAATGGCTAATTATTCTATGCAAACGGCAAATATTCCCAAGGCTACTTGCGAAGAAATAGATAAGAAGACAAGGCGATTTATTTGGGGAGGGAACGATGAGCATCGTAGAGTTCATCTCCTTTCTTGGGAGAAATTGCAAGCGCCAATAAGTCAAGGTGGAATCGGCATTACGTCTGCAAAACAAGCCAATGCGACCTTTTTAACAAAGCTTGGTTGGAGGGTCCTTTTCCGAACCTAATGCTCTTGGGGCTAGGGTCCTTTGAGCGAAGTATTGCAAAGGTCGTTGTGATGTGGAGATATTTGAACACAAGGCAGGGGCTTCGAATGTTTGGAATGGAATTACGGAGAATGACAAGGTCATCGGGGAGGGTGTTCGTACAACTATAGGCAATGGTGAAAGCACATTGTTTTGGGATCACAAATGGTGCTCAAACAAAACATTAAGCGAGCTAGCAGTGGCCACTATTCCAAAAGTTATTCTTGGTGCGTTGGTGGCTGAAATGTGGGAGAAAGGAGTTGGGTGAAGATGGAGCACTTTCTCGCCTTTTCTCAATTCTGAAACTTTGAAATTGATTCAAAATCATGAGCTTCGGGTTGATCCCACTACTAAAATTCGGTTAAATTGCGACCGTTTTTCTATGACCGTCTCAAAAACGGTCGCAAATTATGAAATTTGCCACCATTTTTTTTTTGCAATCGCAATTTTGCGACCGATTTAAAAGCGGTCACAATTTTACGACTATTTTTACCAATTAACCCATCGCAAAGGGTATTTGAATAATTTTTTAAAAAAAATTTGAAAAATAATTCAAAAATAAATAAAATAGTTCGACTGTCAAAAGCGGTCGCAGATTCGTAATTTGCGACCATGTTTGGCGGTCGTAATTGTTTTTATAATTAAATTCGGGTAAGAAAGATGTTCACAACTCACCCTAACCCTAACTTTTCCTCACTCAGCCGCTATCTCTTCTTTTCCTCTCTCTCTCTTCTCTTACTCTCTTTTTTCTCTCTCTCTCTCTCTCTCCCCCTCTTCTCACGCCACTCTTCCTCCATCTTTCCTTAACTCCTCTCCTTCCTTCTCTTCGTTCTCACGCCCCTCCTCTCTTTACTTCCACCTTGATTCTCCTCTATCTTTCTTTATCTCCTCTTGTAGACACCCATTTGTGTCTCCCCAAAACCAAACCCGATGATGAGTACCTTTCACGTCGAATCATAATCAAATGAAACGAAAGTGTGGAAAGGTCTAGTGTTGCGGAAAGTTTTATTTCTTTTCTCTTCTCCCTGTTTTGGAAAACTTTATTTTAAGAAAACAGCCAATCCAGTTTGGTTGGTCCATGACATGGGTCCAATAGTGGTGTAGTTGGATGGGGCTTGCAAAGACCTTTCCAACGATATATTATAAGCCCAATTCCGATGAATATTGAGGAAGTTATGGCCAATTTACTAAACTGGGCCCGGTTTGAGCTTTATGTACGGCCCAATGATCTAGGGGAGGGCCTAATATGATTTATCATTCCTAATGCAATTAGGAATGGTTTTGGTCTTCTAGAATCTTCTAGAAGGTTCTTTTCATTCCTAATTCAATTATCATTGATAAGTTGACTTTGTTGACTTTTCAGAGTTTTAATCAACTTTAAATAGTATTTTCGAAGAAATTATATTATTTTATCTTCCAGTACACGAATTTATCAGATTTTCGAAAACGCGTTGAAATCCAGTTTGGCGTCCAACCCCAGGCCTTGGCGCCTGGAACCAGGCTTGGCGCCAAGCGCTAGCCATTGGCGCCTGGCGCTAGCCACTGGTGCCTAGCGCCAGCTAGCCAGGGTTGACGCCAATCCTGTTTTGCGATCTTCAGACTCTGTTTTGTTAATTTTATCTTTTTGGCTGATTTTCTCTATAAATAACGTATTAAAACTCCGTTTTCGATAACCAGATTTCATCAATTCTTATTTCAATACACCAATCATCATCATTCATCATCTACATCTATCATTCACCAATTCTCCTCATTCACAAGTTTTCTTTGGCATTCTTTCATTCAATTATTTCTTGCTTTTTCATACAAAATTCTGCATTCACAAGATCTAGAAACACCTAGCCATATTCGAAGTTGCCTTCGCCCTAGACGTGAAAGGTTTTAATTTCTGAGGGTTTGGTCCCAAATCTCTCTTTCAATTATTTAATTTAATTGCTTTGATTATTATTTTTCCTTGAAGTTACTAACGTGTGTATTTTGTTATTAGAAAGAGGTACGAGGCATCAAAGTAAGTACTTTAATGGTTTTAATTGATATTATGATGTAGACATCATGTTTATGTTAAGTTGTTATTATGATATTCCTAGTATCATGTCTAGGGTAATTTTAATATTAAATATGATTGTTGTGATGCTTCCTATGCTTTTCCTAATATTTATGATTGCTAGTATCATGTTAAGGTTAAATATTTGATTTTTATTGCTTAGTGACATGCTAGGGTTTGTTATTAATCTTGTTAGTATCATGCCTAGGATCTTGCTATTTTTATTATGCTTTAATATTAACATGAACATGATTATGATTATAATTGTTATAATTTATGATGATTGTTATTATTATTATTATTATTATTATTATTATTATTATTATTTTGATGATGATTATTTTATTTATAATTATTATTCATGATGTTGATTATTTATTATGTTGCTTGATTATATTTATTGTTATTGCTTGATCACGCCTTTTATGCATGTTTAAAGGGAATTGGTACTTGTAATCACGCTTAATAAGATAATTAATAATCTTGTTAGGGTTAATTGTGATTATAATTCAAGTGATCGCCAATAATAGTTTGTTTGTGCATTAAATTCAACCAACATAGATTAAACAGGTTTAGGGTTAATCTATTGATTGTATGTTAGTCAGAAAGCGCACATGAATATGATCAGAATAAAGTAGAGGCCTATTATTAGGGCAGGTTCAATCTCTTTTAGGTTGGATTTGTACTTTCATCCCCGGACCCTTATTTGGTTCATGACCTTATGGAGTTGACGATCTCTTGGATCGTTAAGGGGTGTAACCTTCACCTCGTGATGGTTTACAAGTTCCTTAAAAACTTGTTGGCGACTCTTTTGCTCTATCTTCTTCCTTTTTGGACGCCACCGTACTTTAGTGTATGATCACAGTGGGGTTCAAGCTAGTGGGATTTTAAGGCTTGAAATTATTCCCTACACCTCTCATTCCTTATCTTCTAATTATCAAACTTTCATTTCCAAAAACTCAGACAAAGTAAAAGCACTTCGAAATTGAAGAATTAGAAGCCGCCGGAAAATCGTTGCTCGTTCAAGCAAGCCCATTGTCTCCTCAAGCAAGTACACGAAATTTGGTGTTTATGGTCAAGTTCAACCATTAATATTCCTGATCTGGAGTTTTCATAGTCGAATTTAACCATACAAACCCAAAGAGAAAGATATATTAGGAAACGTATGTTGAGTTTTCTAAAAATATTGTTTCTTTTTGTTTATTTTCGATTTTTGTGGTTTTTTTCATTTAATTTTCGAATTTTAGTTTTGTTTGATTTTTTTTTTATCGATTTTTGTTTTCATGGTCGAATCTGTATAATTTTGTTCGAGTTTATTTAATTTTGGTTTTATTTTGAGTTTTCGTTGATTTTGTTCGAATTTATTCATTTTTAGT